GGGGACCCGCAAAAGTTTTGAGAAGCACCCCAAAAATTTTTTCGAAGTGCGTGGCTAACGCCACGCACCTTCTTTAGAAAAAAATTTTTGTCGCGCCCCCCCCCCCCCGAGCCGAAATCCTGGGTACGCCACTGATGTCCAGATTTCTTTACAAGAAGCGAATATGGACGAGAGAGTCAAAACTGCAAGCTACAGGTCGCTGAGAGAGGAACCCGGTCCGTAGAAAATCCTTCATTAATTTAAACGAAATGCTCTGTAATACTTGATTGAAATCAGAATACTCGCTTCTCTGGCTTGGCCTACACCATCGAACCCCTACTCCGCTGTAGGGGATGTCGATCCCCTCCCCCGCGTTATTGAGTTAAATTCGCGCATACGGGGTTCGAGTGGGGGGAGGGGAAGGGATCCCCTCCCCCATTCGAACCCCGTATGCACTGGGGTTCGCTCGATCAATACCTCTGAAACCATTCACACCATCCCCGCTTAGGTGCAGGGGAGGGGATCGCTCCCCTCCCCTCTGTCATGGCGGGGTTCGGCGGAGGGGATCGTTCCCCTAGGGATCCAGCTCCCCTCCCCTCCCCAGCGGGGACGTAGGTGCATACGGCCTCAAAGGCAGTGTCCGGGCAAACACTCGATTTCCAGAAAATCCACTTACCGGGGATTATCCGCAACGCTGAATCCGCAAATTCACATTAGAAGGCGCGGGGAAACGGCAAAAACATGCGTTTTCCAAAGCCTCGCAATTTGAAATTCGGCGGTCCCCGCTAGGCAGAGACGCAGAGTCACTGCGGGACCCCTACAATTTTGACTGTGGCGGCATGCGTACTCTGCCGCATAGCAGGAATTCGGACAGCTCGGAGGACCCCGCCCCAAGGCGTAAGTTTCCCTACTTTGTAGATGTTTTTCTTGTTTAGGTCAAGCATTAAGGCCTCGCACTTGCGCGATGTTGTGTAGAGGAGAGCCACTTTCGTATGGCACTGAAATCCCAAACACCCAACTTGCCCGGACACTGCCTTTAACGACCTAATAAAACGATCGAATTTCTATGAAGACTTGCTTACTTCGCAATCAGTCTAACATGACTACGGCTTTGCGCTGACACGCTACATGAATGACACAGAGACTAGACTAAGTAGAATTCTACCTATTTTTCAAGGCTCAATTATGAAGAAAAAATCTTATATATAAAGCTGAATGTCTTTTTGTATGTATGTCTGTCTGTCTGTCTGTCTGTCTGTATGTCTGTCTGTGTGTACGTATGTTCCGAATAGAAAATTCCATTTCTGAACCGATCCGGACCAAACTTGGCACACATACACTTCGAGCCCCGCGCGTGTCATAGGCTACTTTTCGTCATCGATCGATATCGATTTTATTGATTTTTTGCAAAATTTGAGCTACGGGGCTGGGAGTTGGCACAGGGGGGTAAGTGAGCATGGGGGATTCCGAATACAATATTAGTTTTTAAAATCGTGCATTACTTTTATCGATTTTATCGATTTTTTTGCAAAGTTTGAGCTACGGGGCTGGGAGTTGGCACAGGGGGGTAATCGAGCATGCTGATCACCCCCGTGGGGGTGATCAGCATGCTCGATTACACCCCTCTGCCAAATTCCAGCCCCCTAGCTCAAATTTTGCAAAAAATCGATAAAAACGACATCGATCGATAACGAAAAGTGGACTGTGACACCCGCCGGGCCCCGAAGGGTATGTGTGCCAAGTTTGGTCCGGATCGGTTAAGAAATGGAATTTTCTATTCGGAACATGGCGGAGCCGGGTAAGCCAGCTAGTGGAAAATAAGGCGATCTCTCAATATAGAATACAAATTTGGACTAGACACGCTAATAACACCCAAACATTGCTACTAACTACTATTACTACCTACGCTACAGAATGCTACAAAAAAGCGCTAAAAAGCTACATAAAACATCGCGGAGTAAGACTAAACCTTGAAGGCACCGTCCACCTTGAGCTGGGGACTTGAGCTTTTTGGCAGCTTATGATCGTAGAACCCCTATCAAGCCAATGCCCAAGTTGCGGTGCAAAATGCCGCATCGCGAGCGAGAAAATCGCTTCGGATTAGCGAAATAGCATAAGGACCCAAGTCGGGCACCGCCCCTTTCCGGTGATGCGCGCCAATCCATGCGCATCCATCCAATCACCGGTCCGGAGAAACGGCCTGTGGATTTGGGTTGTCGGGTTTTTGCGGGTGGTTTTACCATATCCCTGTTCTCACACTACAACAAACGACCAACTTCTTGACCTATCACTAGTTGTTCCGGTCACCGTGCAATTACCTTGAATACACCCTCAATTTACGATATTGAGTGGAAGTAACGCTGCAACGATATCACGAACTTCTTCACGTTCACGTTCACATCTATCGCCTTTTCCGAATGCGAATGAAGAACAGCGTGCACTAGACCTCAAGCTCATTAACAAAAGTCAAGTCAACAAGTCAATTTCCTAAGCTTTGGTGCTTTTTGAAAGGTACTCAACTTTATACATCAAGAAATTCCAGGGCCGGTAGTAATCTGGTCGAAACTCGTCGTTGTTCTGACTTAAATTTGAGTTATATCTGAGCAAACGCGCACCTTTCTTACCCCCTCAGCAAGTGCATGAATGGACCATATGTAGAAAGCGATGATATAGCAGGAGACTCCGTAACCGTTAGTTTACTTCTAGTAGGAAAGCATCGCCGAAATCGTTCTGTACAAGAGACAGCGCCACCAAACGCGCAGCTGTGCTTCGCGATAACTCTGAGTTTGGTGCGCATTGCAATCTATCGCGGAACTCAGAATTAACTCTGAGTTTGGTCAGAGAAAGAGAAGTAGTGTACGAAAGAAGAGGGGCACCTAAGTATTCTTCGGAGTACATTTTGCTCGTACTTTCAGCAGGCTTGATGAGGGGCAGGGGGGGGGGGGTATGGTGCTGCGCCGGTATCTACAAAATTTTATTCGGTGCGCTGACCACGAATATGGTACTCATTTTTCACTTTTTCAGTTTGGAGTCATAAAGCCGTGCTACGATGGGTCTAAAAGTTTGAAAGCTAAGTTTAAATCTTAAAATTTACTCAGTGACGCTCATGAAAAAAGTGATAGACGCTGTTGGAGAAAACCATCAAAATCTGGCGTCCGTGGATAGCGAAAAATCGACAGCAGCAAAAATGGCACATTACGATTACTGTGCAGACAATTGCGCCAGGACCACAAAACTTCACTTTCCATTGAGGGTTATAACTAGATATATAGAAACTCCTACAGTGACGTGCTATGCTTATGGAGTTCCATTATTCGACGAAAGTCGAATATTCGAATATTTGATGTTTATCGAATGATTCGAATATTCGATGACCATCAAATGATCGAGTTGATGACCATCGAATATTCGACTTTCGAATAATATTCGACTTTCGAATAATACTCGAAAGTTGAGATTTTCGAGTATTCGAATATCGAATAAAGTGCGGTTCATAATTATACGAACACCTAAAATTTTGTAAGTTTTCGGACTTTTTGAGAGAAACTCAAAAAGCCGTTGGTACCACGCGATAGAACACAGCCGAAAATGGTATATGATCCATAAGAAGGGAAACTGATGTCAATCTTAGGAGTGTTTTTGCGATTAATGCGAATTTTTAGCGGTTCATAATTATACGAACACCTCAAACAAAGGTCCATCTTCCATTCAAGATTGCAATCATCTGAGTCCAAATTTTTTGTAGAGTTACAGTAACAAAGTCTAACATATAAACTACACACTGAACCCAGTGCAGTTCAAAAAGAGGGCCGTTACTTTTTTCAGAATTCTCTAAATGCTTTTGGAGTGATTGTGCTCCAAAAACATCCGTTCTTCTGTGGTTTACGCGCTCTAAATAGCTTTTACCAAAGCTATGAGATAAAATAAGCTCTTTCGATAGATATTTTGTTTGACGCTTGGAAAATCTTTGCGTTTTCGTGCCATTTTCCAACCAAGTTCCAACCTTACCACAGAGTTAGCACGATTTCGAGCCTCAATACTCAGCTTCTCTCTTGTGCAAACATTTAATATGAAGCAGCTGCATTGTTTGCATGATGATGTTTCTGTGCCAAAGTTTTTGGGTTTTTTGTAGAACTGATCTTGAGGCTGTGGAGCTACAAACCAAATAAAGGTGTGACTGCAATAGTAAAAACATTGTTTTTGGTGAAATGACGTCTGCGTGACCAAAACAAACGCTCAACGCTGCTGATTTTTTCTAGCCAAATATATAGTCTTGTGAACTTCTACATACTATATGCTTACTTCATTGTCGGCTTCAGAAGCTGAGTTTTGAGGCTCGAAATCGTGCTAACTCTAGGGTAAGGTTGGAACTTGGTGAAAAACGGCACGAAAGCGCAAAGATTTTCCAAGCGTCAAACAAAATACCTATCGAAAGAGCTTATTTTATCTCATAGTTTTGGTAAAAGCTATTTAAAGCGCGTAAACCACAGAAGAACGGATGTTTTTGGAGCACAGTCACTCCAAATGCATTCAGGCCTTCTGAAAAAAGCAACGGTCCTCTTTTTGAACTGCACTTGGTTCAGTGTGTAGCAGATATGTCAGACTTTGTTACTGTAACTCTACAAAAAATTTGGACTCAAATGATTACAATCTTGAAGAGAAATGGACCTTTGTTTGGGGTGTTCGTATAATTATGAACCGCTAAAAATTCGCATTAAGCGCAAAAACACTCCTAAGATTGACATCAATTTCCATTCTTATGGATCATATACCGTTTTCGGCTGTGTTCTATCGCGTGGTATCAACGGGTTTTTGAGTTTCTCCCAAAAAGTCCAAAAACTTACAAAATTTTGGGTGTTCGTATAATTATGAACCGCACTTTATATTCAAAAACTGAAAATTTCGAATATTCGACTTTTCAAATCATTCGTATTCGAATGATTTAATCGAATGATTGAATAATCATTCGATTCGGTCCCAAGCATAGGCACTAGCCTATATTTGCACTCATAGTTTGAAGCTCATAAGTATCCATGCGAATGCGCTGCATTGTCTTGATGACTTACCATAACATTAACAATTTTTGGTAGCATCCAAAATCTTCGCTTGGCTAGCACTTCCGCAAGTAGTGTTACTTTTAGGTTGATGAATTTGTCCATGATAGCAGAAGGTTTCAGCTGAAATATATTTAAAATAGCTTGCCATCTAATAAGAGCAGCAGGGGCAAACTTGATCACTGCTTCGAGACTGCCATGTGACTCCACCAGAAACGTCGAAAAGGGTTTCAGTTCTTCGAGGCCTCTTATATGGCACTATTGCAGTCGGCGGTGCATTTGTAATGGTGTGAAGTTGAACCGCAGATTGTCTCTGCTATGCTTGCACATAAAAGTATAATAGCTAATTAGCGACTACGGCACATACTTTCTGTTTGAATTCTTCCGTAAATGATTTTTCTATAAAACTTATGTAGTCCGAATCCTCACCAATCGCGTAATCTCCGGGGTGAATATCGTTTGCCGCAATAGAGTTGTGGACGTCTATCACCTAAAGGCGCTTGAATTACGGAGGCTTTCAATCTGAGTTCACAGTCGGCCCCTCGCTTGAAACCGTGACACTCAGATTAAAGAGCCCCTGTGATCATACTAGGCATCTATTTCCAAAGGAGTTACAATTTAGGGACCCGTCATACTTCGCCGAAAAAAGCCCAAAGAAGTCCGAAAAAGCCCAAAAAAGCCCGAAAGCGCCAGAAAGAGCCGGAACACTTCTCGCACGTTTTGTCGCTAAGGCATGTGTGTTGACTTCGCAATCGAGCCTTTTTGTCATTCTCTGTCGTCCGCATGATAAGATAGTGTCAGAATTCTACCAAAAGTTCGTTTCTACATTCCGGCTCTTTCTGACGCTTTCGGGCTTTTTTGGGTTTTTTCGGGCTTCTCTGGGCGCTTTTGGGCTTTTTGGGCTTTTGGGGGGCGCTTTTGGGGTTTTTTGGCGAAGTATGACGGGTCCCTTAGATAGCTATGGTAGAAAACTTTTTTTTATAGATTAAAGCACGCAATTCACGGGAACCCTTTGAGAAAATGCTTACAAATGACAGTAAAGTGCAGGTCAGCCTGACTCAGATATTTAACAAACAATATTAACAACACCCTCTCCATAGTGAAGGTGTTTTTGTGCAGTGAGAACGGTGGTGGACAAAAATCTTATATATAAAGCTGAATGTCTGTATGTCTGTACGTATGTGCGGAATAAAAATTTTTATTTCTGAACCGATTTGGACCAAACTTGGCATATACTTCGGGGCAGGGAGCGTGTCACAGGCTACTTTTCGTTATCGATCGATATCGATTTTATCGATTTTTTGCAAATTTTGAGCTACGGGGCTGGGAGTTGGCACAGGGGGGTAATCGAGCATGCTGATTACAAATATGTTATTGACAGGGCCGGGCGGAGCCGGGTTTGCCAGCTAGTTTTTTTATAAACTACTAGCTGGCTTACCCGGCTCCGCCGTATGTTCCGAATAGAAAATTCCATTTCTGAACCGATCGGGACCAAACTTGGCACACATACACTTCGGGCCCCGGCGGTGTCATAGGCTACTTTTCGTCATCGATCGATATCGATTTTATCGATTTTTTGCGAAATTTGAGCTACAGGGCTGGGAGTTGGCACAGGGGGGTAATCGAGCATGCTGATCACCCCCGTGGGGGTGATCAGCATGCTCGATTACACCCCCTGCCAAATTCCAGCCCCCTAGCTCAATTTTTGCAAAAAATCGATAAAATCAATATCGATCGATGACGAAAAGTAGCCTATGACACCCGCCGGGGCCCGAAGTGTATGTGTGCCAAGTTTGGTCCCGATCGGTTCAGAAATGGAATTTTCTATTCGGAACATACGTACAGACAGACAGACATACATACAGACAGACATACATACAGACAGACACATAAACATTCAGCTTTATATATAAGATCAGGGAGATACAAGGCAAGAGCAAATTTCGATAAGACTGTGAGACTATAGTATGCGGAAAATCGGTGTTTTCTTTCCGCAAAGAATGTAAGCCAAATTTTGCACTGAATTTGAGTTTTTGCGCATCTAGTGTTAAATATGGGACAAGATATCCCCTAACAAAACGACAGCTCTGAAAACATAGAAAGCATAGTTTGTAGTAAAAGCCAATTTGACGCGAAAAAAGATGGCATACGTGTCGATAAACACCGCAAGCTTTTCTGTGAAGGGAGGCTGAAAGATTGCTTTGTAAGTTATTTTTATTTGTAACAAAGGCATAACTAACAAACTGAGTTCCGTTCCTGTTGCCAAAGTCGCTGTCTCTTTGAGGCGTACGAGGTAAAGTTGATGATGGAGGAGTTTTGTAAGACGGAGTCGTCTTTTCCGGATTCTCAAACGGAAGAAGAAGAGATGCACGACTTGCTACATGAGCTGAAAATTGGGCTTTACGAAGGTGGAGCATACAACATTTGTTTATGCAACGTTTGCTGCTTTTATGCGAAAATTGCATAGAATAGATGTATTCGCAATTTCGAAGTTCATAAAGCAATCCACTGTATTGAAATAAGCATAACGTTTCAATGATGCAATACAAAACTTCGATCATGCAATTGTAACTTTATTACCGATGGCGCACAACAAAGCCATATTTGTCTTTAGAGTCAAGCGATTGGAGGTACTAACATTGTCACTAAAATACCACAACCTTCCCTATGATCCTTCTGCATCTGTGGTGACCCCAGACACGTAGAGTGGCGGGTGGTGGGGTTGCGACAGAGGTCATTTCAAATGATGAGGCGTGGTAATAATGACTTTTTAACCTTTTCCGAGATATTTTTTGAAACTTTTGCAGGCGTATTACCTCAAAATTCAGGGGGCGGTTGTGCATTTTTCATGACTTTTTTCTTAACAGCGCTAACTTGACATCAGTAAAATTCATGCAACTGTTATATTTATAAGTAACCAATTGGGTGATTGCAGACAAGTTATTGAAGCATCAATTTTTTTAGCGTTTTTTACATTTACGTTACTGTACATAGAATGGTAAGCCAAGGGTGGCACGCGCTCTGCTTATCGTCGTAAAGCAGGGTCGAACGGAGCCAGATGTATCGGCAAGAAAATTCTGAGCTCACCATTCAAATGAGAAGAAGTTTGAATGAGAGGATTAGGCTTGTTCTTGGAAAACAACGACCGTTGGTGATCAGACCATGTGCAAGGTGCAGTATCCTTCGTCGATGCCAACTGTAATCCTTCATTTGATTAACTTTTGTCGTGTATTAATCTAATATATTGCACCGGCCAAAATGCATCATAGGCCCCATTGTTACGATGCATACCGAAGGAAACACAGAAGAGAGAAAACTTGATACGCCTTATTACCAGAAACAGATTTGCATGCGCAAGTTTATGATCGTAAGAAGTGTGATCGTAAGAAGCGAGCAGCGAGTTTATGACTTTCTCCTTGCCAATAACGTAGGATGAAGAGATGAAAACGGCAACTGTGGCAATTTGAAAAGAAAAGAATCTAAGAATGCTAGGGCCCATTAACAGTTGTCATTGTAATAATGATCTCAAATCACACGATCTTGAATAACTGCAGAAGAAAACTGTAGATCTGTAGTGTGAAGGAACACTGGACTCTGGATCTCTGGACCCTAGACATCCTTTTCTCTATGATCCTTCTTAGGCTCGAAGCGATGTATCTTTACCGAGCTCATTTGCTTAATGTATTCATGCTTCACTCCAAAAGAATATACCCAGTTCGTCAACGATTGCTGGACATGAAGTTGTAAACTTGTGCGAAATACTGCAGATACCTTCCTGAGAAGAACAGCACTGTCACGAACGTCAATCACGTCTGCTCTTGTATCATTAGGATTTCTGACCAAATTGGATTGTGTGGGTGAAGGTTGTGCTCGGTTCTTTACAGTGTTGCGACTGCCACCCCGTGAAACAGGGAAATATTCCGCAATGGGTAGCGAGCGAGGTAAATTACATTCCCTAAATCGGAGCAATTTTGGAGAGAAAAGCTAAAATTACCAAATGAAAGTCTAGAACTCACCTCTTTTTCTCTGTATGGAGCTTGTTATGCATGATCAGCGTAGTGTTATCAAGGGGTATAGGTAGATCATTCTGAATGATATTTGATGTTCTTTACGGAGAAAAATCTGAATTTTTGTCTGCTCAACCATTTCTACTGGCGTCGGGACATCGAAATCAGCGCTTTTCCATTGTTGGATGGGCGAATGCTCTGATGCTAATAAATTACCTGAACGAATTATTTTGGAAGTATGATGTATGCTGTTATAGGTGTCTTGGAAATGAAAAAACAATCACGCAGGAGAAGGTCAGATAGCAACAACGAAGGGCGAAACGATTGAAGAGGCAAGCTCACACTACCTCTTTCGCCCTGCGCGCCAATTTTTGGCCGTCCAAAAGGCAGTGTTCCAGGCAAACCTGGGCGCATGGTTTTCCTACCTAGAAACTGATGAGGGGGTCCCAGCCGAGGTACTGCCCACCATGCCAGCGCAAATGATTCATTAACGTCTAAGGGCCGCATGCACTAACATGGCCGCGGGGAGGGGATCGCAGCTCAAAAGAAAGCTTCATATTCTGAAGCTCCAGATATCTGGATTTCACGCTATCTACCTGTTCGTGAGTATTCCTACTATCCTTCACTATGAACATGTTGAACAGGAGCGAGAAGCTGTACGAACCGCATTTTCCAGCTTTTGTATGATCCCCGATGACCCCCGACGCTTTTCTTTAAAGTCATTTTTCTTTCTCCGAATTAACGAAAACCTTCCAAAGTTGTACTGAACATCTAACACAACAGTGCTAAGCATGTTGCTGATGAGAACAAATGCATTTTTTAAAAGTCGAATTTTTCGGTAAACCCCAAATTTTGACCTGTGGATCATCGAAAATTTCATGACTTCAAAACATCATTTGTTCTTATCAGCAACATGCTTAGCACTGTTGGGTTAGATAATCTGCACAACTTTGGAAGTTTTTCGTTAACTTCGGAGAAAGAAAAACGACTTCAAAGAAAGCACGGCTTGTCGTCAGGGATCATCAGGGGATCATACAGAAAGCTGGAAAATGCGGTTCGTACAGCTTCTCACTCCTGTTCAGCATATTTATAGTGAAGGATAGTAGGAATACTTACGTATAGGTTCACAACGTGAAATCCAGGTATCTGGAGTTTCGAAGTATGAAGCTTTCCTTGCAGCTGCGATCCCCTCCCCGCGGCCATGTTAGTGCATGCGGCCCTAAGAGATCCATCTCCGAACCCTCCGCGCATGTCCGCCACCGTAACCGGCGAGTAACCTATGGTGGTTCCATCGCGAATGAAGAGTTAATGTGAGCGAAGTTTTCTCGTGTTTGGGGGAGGATTTCTCAAATGTGAATAAATCATGCGCGCTGCGGTTTGGGTGGTGCCATAGTTAGGACCTCCTCACCAGTTTTTAGCCGAAAAACCGATGCGATCAGGTTCGCATGGACACGCCTTTAAGTGCGATCTTCTTCGCTTCCATTTAGCATCTTCATCCGTGTGATATTTTACTTCTTTCTCAGTTGTAGAGATTTACCACTAAAACGATATGTATAAACCAGCCTTCTCTGCAGCTGGAAGGTTCGCTGCTTTACTGATACTCGGCAGCTTCGCTGCTTTGTAATTCCATCGTTTTATTTATTCTATAGTGCAGGAATGTGAAAAGCTTAGTGGCAACTTCAGCCGCTCTGAAGTTCATGTTTACGAAGTTTGGTTCAGATCCCATATAACGGTCTAATATTTTAGACCGTTATAACAGAACTGCTGAAATCGATAGGAGCAACGGTATGTCCCGAATAAAGCGGCTTAGCACACCCCCCCCCCCCCCACTCCATACATTATGTCTGGCAAATTTAGTTTAGATTCCTCCTTATATCCTTTTGGGCGAAGACAGAAAGTTTTCTAAGCAAAAACGGAAAAAAAAACAACAACAATAATTTGGTAGGGGCAAATCGCGTGTCCCGTACAAAATGGCTTATTAATACATGCTCCACCCCAAGCATGTCTACCAAATTTGGTTCAGATTCGATACTTCCATCTTTCTGAACGAACATAAAAAGTGGCGAAGTCAAATATTGTATAACTAATAATTAAGGAAGCATAGCGCAAAAATGCAAATTTTAGCATCCATTTACCTTGTTAGAATCATTGTGTTCCCGATAAACGTTCCAATTGTATTGGATGTGGTCTTTCATTTTCTTATTTATTTTTCGCACATTAAGGTATGAGACTTTGAAAGGAACACTCGACCTAAGCTGTTTACAGTTAATCACAAAAGTAAGAGAAATAGCGGCGAACGTCGCGATGTAAGGGCTCGGGCATAGTTCACGCGATTTCAGTCGTGAGCGACTAGGCAATACTCAAATGTCCAGAACTCGTTGTAAGCCTATTTTAGATGTACAGAAGGTAGGGCATTTTTTGAGTCTACGAAAGTTACACACACTATGCAATTGTAGTTGCCAATGTACGATTTCAAGACATCTGGCAAGCTGCCAGATCGCGTCGCGATTGAAATCCCGTGTATGCCTGAGGCCTAAGGCCTCGGGCATACCTCACGCGATTTCAGTCGCCACGCGATTTGGCAGTACTCCAAATGTTCATAACTCTGTTCATAACTTGTTCATAACGAGGTTTCTGAATGTACGGAAGGTGGGGCATTTTATCAACCTACGAAAGCTATACATACTGTGCATTTGGAGTCTACCAGTATTGAATTTGAAGACATCTGGCAAATTGCCAGATCGCGTGGCGACTGAAATCGCGTGAGGTATGTCCCTTGCCTAAGACACAGTAGCAATTGTTCACGTACTACAGCAGATATACATCTCCAACGGTATTCAACGTAAATTGTTCATCTTTCCACCAGCTACGCCATCGAGCTTAGTCCTCACAAGAACGCTCATAGAATGTCAAAATTTCAAAGTAAGATCACTTTGTTTAACTTTGGCTTTGGTTTGATTCAGGCTTTAACAAATTTCAAAGTAACGCAAATTTCTTACTACAATGCTTCTCTAGCATTTCTTGACTTGCTTAAAGGATATTCGTCGATGACTGCCCCGACTCGCAATTAAACACCACCGTGGGCGTGCCTTTTGGAGCCTTCCAACTTGACAGTTGCAACGCGCGAGGACTTGGTAGCTGGCAACGACACCACTGTCTTTAACCCTTTTGTTAATTTAAGCATTTCGCATCGTTCTTTCTTCTTGGTTTTTATATTTTAGGCAGTTATTCGTTTTCCATTTCTTCTAGGTTCTCTCGATGATCAAACATCCTACGTTCTACTATGATGAATAATGAAAGGTAAGGGAAAAATCAGTTTAGGCACTTCTTGGATTCCTCTCCCTTTTCACCTACCAAACGATCGTTTTCAAAATCGTGAACCATTGCCCGGGCAAATTTAGGTGAAAGGGTATGCTTTATTCAAAAGCAGTGGTGGCTATCATGCATTTTTCTTGGACGAGACCGCAATGTGTATTCAGCACTCCTACATGATATCATTGATGTAGGAGGTGCTGAATTAACCGCTTCAGTGGTCGTCCTAAGAAACATGTCAAGTCATTATAGAACAAAAGAAAACCATGCAATTCCAATCATAATGATTTCGCCACTGCAACTACGAAGAAAGCTCATTCTTTCTCCTAACCTTGCCCGCGGCGATGGTCATTAGAAACAGTAAGTACCTGAAATGAAAAATAAGGAGAAAAAACGATGTGAAATGCTTACCAACAAAAGAGGTCAAAGGGCAGGGATGCTGCAAGCTACCAAGTCCTCGCGCGCTGCAGCGTACTGTCAAGCTGGAAAAGCTTCAAAAAGGCACGCCCATGGTGGTGTAATTGCACTAGTCGGGGCAGTCGTCGACGAATATCCTTTATTAACACTATCTCAACTAGTTTCATAAAAGTGCGGAAAATTGAAAAACCGAGTCATACATAAATGCACCTGACACTGAGTAGTTTCTATAGCTTGAATTGTTAATCAAAGCACCAAACAATTTTTAAAAGCAGATGCTGAAAAACGCTAGATTATCATTTAATTAGCTTGTCACTGATGGTGAGGACTTAGGTACCAACCTTGCATTCACATGCATCGCAAGTGAAAGATAGCTATTAGGGTGAACGGTAAAAAATGGGACCCTTATGAAATAGCTGTGGCCGTATTCATCAACGAACCCTGAGGGTTAAACTTACCCTCCAGGGTTAGTTTAACCCTCAGGGTTCATTGGCCGTATTCATCAACCATAGGGTAGGGTTTACAACGGAACGCGATCCACCCGTATCGATCAACGAACCTGTGGCCGTATTCATCAACCCTGAAGGGTTAAACTAACCCTGGAGGGTTAAGGCGTCGGTTACGTGTGCCCTGTGCAAACTCACATCACAAAATGCCTAAGTACGTGCTGAACTCACTTTATACTTCTATTCTTTCACTGTTTTAGTAGTATAGTCAACGAATAAGCTTCTAACACTAGTTTTTATAATAGATCTCTAGCATACTTGTGCAGCGTCCAATCTTACAACGTGAGTTTATTTTCATGTGTGCATTTGTGCAGTGTAAAATCTACTTTTGCGCAGTTCGTTTTATACCGAGCTTGTGCTACTCTTTTAGGGGTCAATGCGTGTTGTCATAAAGGGGTTCTTCAGTTTTGGCATTTGTCAGAGTGATGCGCTACCATTTTTCCTCGTCGCATTCATTTATCACCAAAGCTAGAATTCTTTTTCTCGCGAAGTCAGTGTTTCATGTACTTCGAATATGAACATAAAACGAAGTCGAAACTAAATACTATAACAACAACTAATGCTAAATACTGTAGTACTCGTTGATCGTTTTCCATAAAACTATTGGATGCGAGTAAATGTTTGTATGAAGTGTTAGGATAGAGTTAACCTTACTCTAAGCTAGGGTTAAATCAACCCTGATGAATTACGTAAGTTTTACCCTCCAGGGTTAGTTTAACCCTCAAGATTCGTTGATGAATACGGGTTAATCGCTTTCGGGGTAAGGTTTACCCTCAAGGTTAGATTTAACCCTCAGGGTTAAGCCTACCCTGTGTTTCATAATACGGGTTAATCGCTTTCCAGGGTTAGTTTAACCCTCAGGGTTCGTTGATGAATACGGCCACTGGAGGTTTCTCAAGAAAAAGAAGTGATTAGATATTCCAATTTTGACAGATGTTAGAATATGTTATTCTCTTTCAGATAATACCTATATAAGGTCATTTACATAATTAATAATTTTTATACTTGCTGAAATGCAAAGTTAATCACTTCGACAAATTATGAACTTTGAGCAGTATCTGCGCAGTGAAACATCTGAGACCACCCAAAGTACCACTGCTAGAGTGGGTAGTGGGACAGTCACCAAGCCCACGAGCTTGGTGGCCTCAACTTCCAAAGTCAGGAGATATGGCCACAAGCGGCTTCGAGAACGAAGACACGTATTATTCAATTCCTTCCAGGTGAACGCATGTTTTCTAGGTACCATCTGATTGAGCTTTCTACGCTCTGTCCATCCATGTGCAGCTTGCCTTAGATTTTATCTATCTTCGGAAAATATAGGGCAAAAAATAATTTTTTTTATTGCGCCAAAAATAGCTATTTTACAGGTTTTTTCGCTTTTTCCCTGAAATTGAAAAGAAATTTTAGGCATTTAACATATCAAAAGAGCATGAAAAGCTCTTTCGAATGGTTTGTCAGCTGCTTTACGACTTTACGGTATAGCAGTGCAAGATTGAGAGTTGTTCAAAAAACCCTGTCGGAGTTCTTCGGCGCCACGCGTACGGTTATGAGAGAGGAGCGGTAACGCGGTGCCAGAATAATAGGCGAAGGTCGGTTATGTAAGCGACGTTTGAGTTGCAGCCTGCTTGTTGTTGGTGAGAACAAAAAACCTTAAAATTTAATAAAAATCAAGTTGTCCCATTTTTTACCGTTCACCCTAGTAGAAGGGAAAAGAGAAGATGCTACATTCAATGGTTTGTGGATTTTCCACAGGGTGATGTTCGATGAAGCTTGGATTAGATCCGAATATGGAAATCGATAAAAGAAAGGATTTATTCAACAGATATCTTGAAATCATTTTCAAGCATTCAGGCTTAGAAAAAATGAAAAAGCTCAAGAGGAGTATGTATCGAAAAGGTTTGTTCATCTGCATTTATCAAATCTCCTCACTTGAACGAAATGTTTTGAAATTATTAGGCTTGGATGAGGCAGTAAGTAATGGGTATACTTGCGTTTAATCGAGCGGATACGAGATTAATCACTTCAGAAATATAGCTGATGGAAAGAAGAGAAAAGCTGGTTTCAGAATAATCACAGGAGAGATGAGAAACGCTCGTACAATACCGCAAACTGTTCATTCATAGTTATTTTACTTCTACAGGTCTAATACTCTGTCGGAACAAACTGATATTGCAGATTTCCGGGTGTCATGTAAAGAATCTTGCAAAAGCATGAGGAAAGATAACTTTGATCTTTTGGGTGTGCTTCATGTGGTAATTAGAACAGAGCGAATCCAGAAATGATGGTGGTGGAAATGTAGGCTACAGTGACAGTAGAATTCTCTGAAGATCACAGTCGCATACTCAGATAGTAGAAAGTAAGTTTTTCGATCAGGTGAAAGTCGTTGTTTGCAGTCAATAATCTAATTATCTTTGTCAAACATAGGTAAATTTTGCAATCTTCGAGCAAAAGCACTGATTAAGAACAACAACAGAGGCACTGATCTGTGTACTTATTCTGTATTTGAGTCTCAAGATTTTGCTGACTTACCTCCAGATCTCACATCTTTCCTTACAGCAACTTTGACATCATTCTGCGATGCAATTGTTTGTAGTGGAGGTACGATTGCTGTGCGTTCCACCTCCGATACAAGAATTACGGTAAGATGCGGTGTACGATAAAGCTACCACACCTCTTGCTTGATATACATTCGAGCTTCTCGAGCTTCAGCTTGGTTATTGAGCGAAGCCTGTTGCGGGCGTGGAAGTCGAACAAGGAAGGGAGATATTGTCGAAAGACTTGGAAAAATGATTTGATCATACTCGATCATAAGAAATGACTCGGAGATATGCCCACTTCGCCCCTTTATTGGAAGAATGATTAGCTTTCCTCGTTTCAGCTTTTGCTTCCTGTTTTGCATTATTTGGATTCATCGTAACCTCATAGCTAAAAAAATTCGTGACATAAAAGCAAAAAAACTGCTCAGCCTCACCGGGTCTTTGCGATATTTCCAGCACCCAAACGCTCAACTAACGGTGAAATGCCTGCGGAGAGCTTTCGTTCAACATCGCCTCCAAGAACCTAGCACCGAAGTATCTTAGGAGAAGCATTTTAAGTCAAGATCGGCTACATAAGATAATGTTAGGAAAATTTATTAGGTTGGCACATAAGTAATTCAACTTTTGACTTTTATGACTTTTCTCTTTTTGGACGTAGCGCATTCATTATTCGACGAAGAGGATTATGATGTAAACTGCAAATGCCGACATTTTTGCCGAATTTTGCCATCTTATGTAAGGGTTACGGTAGGTTTACGGTAAAATGGGAAAAATTTTAGATCGCGTCGGATTTTGCTGCTTGGCCTAGGGGGTTATTCGACATGCTGACAAAAATGAGACCCGTTTCGCATGAAAAGGACTCTCTTTAGAGTCAAAGAAGGAATCTCGTCTCAGAGACAAGCGAATGATATTCGTGCTCACCGTATTGGATTACCCTGTTGTGCAAAGTTTTAACGATTTCTGAGGTTTCGCAGCTTAGTTATTGACAGATTGCCCTCCCCCCCAATTTGTAAATAACCTCAGCTCCGCATTTGACACATTGACTTGTTCTACTTCTCAAAGGCTAGCTACATGCTGCCTATAATTCCTTTTTGATTTTTTGATTCAGGTTTTGTACGGCTTTATGTTTGCCAAAAATAATGAAATCTCGATTTTCAAGGGCTTTCCGAAAAATGTATTTTTTTCCAAAAATCTATCAAAATTTATCAAAAATCGAAGGGTTTTAGAGTTGCAACTTACATCACAGCTGCATGACGCCAGCGAATGAGAGTTCTACATAAGATAAGAAATAAGTTGTGGAAAAAGTTGCAAAACCTATGTGCCAACATATACATCTGTTCCATACGTAATCATTGATTCAGTCATCTTGAGAGCAGCGTCCCAAAAAACCTGACACACGGTCTCACATGGAAACGTTTTGGGGCTCCATCCAAGGCAATGTCCAAGCAGCAGCGCAAATGAATCGCCATGGCCGAGAAGGTCTCTCTGGAGTTGTCAGTAGGGCAGATTCAACGGACGACTTGTATCGTGTTTTACATGTTTCGAATGGAACCCACAGCCTAATGTTTCAACACGCAAAAATATGCAAGCCGATGCCGTTCGCTGAGTACGGTACTGCGGACAGGTATGGAAATACTCAGCCTTGGATGAAGTCTGTGCACTATTAGGCTGACGTAAATCGACGCTGCCTTAGGCCGAGTGCATAATTCACGCCATTTCAGTCGTCACGCGATCTGGCCATTTGTCAGACGTCTTCAAATTCAATAATGGCAGACCCTAAGGCCCGTATGCACGTACATCCCCGCGGGGAGGGGAGGGGATCTGAGAGGGGAAGCGTCATATCTCGTTAGTCTATATATCCTTCTTCTTCTTTCTCTGTTTTGGTTTTGAAGGTTCTCATACACTGATACTTGCGCATAACGGATGCCAATTTACTGCCATACAAGATTAGATATTCACTATTCCGACACCTCACATTTTCAAAGCTATTTATCTTCTTGAAAACTCAATGAAAACGCTCTAAAATTGCACTGTGGATATATCACAGCACTGCTAAACATGTTTATGGTAGAAATGAGTAAAATCTCAAAATATCAAAATCTTCGATGAACCGCTGCTCGCGAGCCAGGGATTATCGAAAAATCAAAATCTTCGGATCCCATTTCTTCTGTCGAAAACATGCTCAGCAGTATCGTGCAGCGTTTTCATTGATTTTTAAGGAAGATAAATGACTTTGAAAATGTGAGATGATCCCCAGGGGATCGGAAAAAATAATGAATATTTAATCTTGTATAGCAGTAACCTGGCATCCATTATGCACAGGAATAACGGTATGAGGACCTTATAAGCATGATAGAGAAGATGGAAGAAAGATATCTAGAGCAGCGAGATATGGCGGTTCCCCTCTTAGATCCCCTCCCCTCACCGCGGGGATGTACGTGCATACGGGCCTAAATGTACAACATGCTTAACTTTTTTAGATTGAATGCTTTGTCTTCCGGACATTCAGAAACTTCTAACGATGAGTTATGAAAAACCGAATATTGCCTAAACGCATAGCGACTGAAATCGCGTGAGGTATGCTCAGGGCCTTTTTGTCGCTTTAAGGCCTTTTGAATGCCCTGAATTTCGAACCCAAAAACACCCGTTTTGGGAAACAAGCGGGGACGGGTGCAATGCAAGTCGCGGGGCTGCGGCGCTCATATACGCCGGGTGCGTCATTTGCAAACCTGCAAAATGGGCAGGGATACCAGTTGCGCGGAGTGACCAGCACCGAATTACGTCTCTTCCGGAGTGGATTTCTCACTCCGGAAGCACCAGTTGCGCGGAGTGACCAGCACCGAATTACGTCTCTTCACGGCGGAATTCTCACTCCGGAAGCAATCTTTTGCTACGCAACTTGGGGGTATGCTTAGTGTAGGGAGCCCATGATGGTATGCCATCATAATTTCGTCAACCCCCCTTTTGGGTAGACGGTGCCTTTTAGCGTAGTTGTTGCCTTGGTAGGAATATCTGCAGGTGTGGACAATACACTAGCCTGGCAGACTTATAGAGTCAGACGACTTGCCCGCATTGGGACAATGTTAGAATGCTAACAGTAACATGGTCATGTAAGTTACTAGGCAGCTGGACAGTAAATAGACTTATATCACAGCAGGTCATGAATATGACATGACATTTACGACAATCTGGCAGGGTAACGGCACGGCTTTGAGAAAGTGCCGACATCGGCATACTCCGGCTAGCGAGAGAAATGAGAACAATCAGATGTAGCATGAGCATAGCATTTAAATATATCAAAACCAATTCTTTCTCGGGATATCGCAGTGACGCTGTGGAGTTAGCAAACAGGTGAAAATATGGCCCATCTTAGAGGTGGTACATTCGGTGCACGATCTTGTGAAGGAGTTCACACGAAAGCTGGATGATGATACTAAAGTAGTTCTACATTTGTCTTCATTTGGAGGTAAAACACAACAGAAATCCAGCTTCGTTTTCTTTTTCTCTGTATCGAAAGGATAAGTTTCTGTGTTAGCGCTGGGCTGGCGATACCTTCACATGCTGCTACGTTGTCCATGCGATCTCCGCAGGCCGAGATGCAGTTATTTGGAAATTCCTCTGCCCTCTTCAGCTTCTCTTGGTGTATCAGTTTGAGATATCGCACTTTTGCTAAAAATTTTTTACCCGACTGATTTCTAGGCTTGGACTGGGCTAAGTTTGTTCATTGCTACTTTCACATCTTATTGTCGCAAAATTTTTCCTGCGTCCTATGTTCTACGATTCTAACTTTGCATCATTTTCACGCTCTTCTAGTATGTGAATAAACATCTGGGCATCAGTAGGGATTTGGAAGTGACTCATCTCTTTGTTGAATAAATCCAAATCTTTTGCGATCACCTGCTTTAAAAAGCGGCACTTTTCGCTTGTGTATATTTTCTTTAGCACGTCCTTTTTGATCGTACTAAGTGTAAGCCCAGGGTGATGTCGAAGATGCAGGTCGGTAGTATAGGCGCCCGCGCAAGGCGCAGAGAGTGCGCAAGGTGTGCATTGCGGTCACTCCTCTTTCCTCGTGCACCCTCCACGCCTGTTTACTGCGGTTCTTCCAGTCGTGAACTGCCTTCAATGTACGCAACAGCGTTGCTCTCCGTGCGCAGCGCGGACGGCCTAAACGCGCAGTTTGTTGATGCACATTTTTCGTCGCTCTAGTTCATCGTCTGAAAGCATAATTCTCTCACAATGGCTTGTGTACTTTCGTAGTAGTTCCACTCATCTCTTGGCGTATGCCTCACATCTTCCATTTGGAGATGCAGAATAATCGTTGCTCCAGTGGCTTCCGTCTTGTTGGGGGCCATGGTATCGGTCTAGTTTTGGCCGATGCACCAAAATATTAGGCTGTTGCCCGTCGACGTTGCCTTAAGTGTAGCTGTTGCCTTGTTAGGAATATCCGCAGGTGTAGACAATACACTAGCCTGGCAGATTTATATAGTCAGACGACTTGCCCGCATTGGGACAGTGTTAGAATGCTAACAGTAACATGGTCATGTAAGTTACTAGGCAGCTGGACAGTAAATAGACTCATATCATAGCAGGTCATGCTTATGACATGACCTTTACGATAATCTGGCAAGGTAAAAAGCACGGCTTTGAGGAAGTACCGACAATGTCGGCACATGCACTCCGCTTTGATAGTGCCTTGGTCAAGGCCCAGGTGAGCTTGCACGTGAAAGCCCCATGAGCAAAAGGCTGCTTTTGAGCATGCTAAGAGCGAACCTGACAATTTGACGAATTTAGTAATAGGATTCCTCTTCTTAGAAGCACCCTTGAAATTAGCAGTATCTGCAAAAAGTTACTCGTCTTTAGTCCGATCATTCAAGAAAGAGTACCTTCAACCCAGGAAGAGAATCTTCATCCAAAAATTCCTAAAAATGGAAAGTCGCCACTTACTGCCACTCTTCTTTACCCTGATCTCACAACTTCACCGTACTGTATTGCATGCAGAACATTCTGACCATCGGTCAACTTGAATTTGAGGAAACGCTTTTCCGAGAAGTTCTATAATACTCTTGTCAGGAAACTCATTACAGCAAAAGGCCATGCCTACTGCTGTTAGTTGCTCCGCGTACTCATTGCGTTCATCTTCACCATGAAACCATGACAGATCATCCACATCTGTGCTACGCTCGCAGTATTGCTCATACGCAGATCGAGCGATGTTGATAACAGATACGAGATAAAATGGTGTAAAATCAAGTGTTTTACTTGTTCGAGCAGTACTATCTCTGAAGTTATTTCGATCAAAGTACTATTATCTTGCAATGCTTTTTTCTTTCTGAAGAAGACTATATTAGTCGACTCCGTGCTGCTTGAAAATTGTCTTCCATCGTGACTTACAATAAGCCGCTAATCTGTCGGTCTGTCAGTGGGTCTGTTATGAAATTACAGTGGGGAATGATTGAAGTACATTGCTAACGCATGTGAGAGCCGCATAATAAGTAAGGTTCGTATTTGTGATTACCCTGCGGTTCTTCGACTAAAAAATCTCCGTAAAGAGGAGGTAAAGCACTGGTATCTACCATACGATGAGTGGGTGAAGTTAGGGGCTTTGTCTGGGTAGGCAACATATTTGTTAGTTCCTAGCAGTACAATACTGAGGGCGGCCCGAGTTGGCTTTCAGAATATTCAGAAGTCTACTTTGACTGCGCAGAAGTTTTATAAGGCTCCTATGAGCTTTACAGCCAGTTACATGCACCTATAAATATGAAAGAAAAGTTAAGAACAAAAAACACACAATCAACTAAGCTCTTTCTCTGAAAACCAACATCGTTTTAAACGGAAGACGGAGAGTAAGAGCAGTCACAAATTTAAGACACATGAGTTGCTAAAGTTGGGTGTGGTGCCCAACAATGATGTGTTTAACAATGTATATTAGAAGGGTAACTAAGCCACTCGAAGAAGGCAAAAATGCAAAGTTTAGATTTTCAGAATAAACATAGAAGAAAATTTCGAAGCGAAGAAGAAGTGTTTTGTATAATTCCAAAGGATCCGAAATTCTAGCCCTTTTTCAAAATCATCTCCATAGAGGACCAACGCTTAGGTGGCACACATGTAAAGAGAGTTCAGTGCAATAGCGCTGAAAGGGTTTTTCAGAAAAGGAAGTATGTGGACCGGTGGTTTCCGAGATCACAGCTTTCGAGTGAGATTTCAACAAAGAGATGTGATACTTCACTTGTTCCTATAGAATCATGCTCAGCACTTCGATAGGATCCTCATCCATACAGGGTGTCCCAAAAAATGTACTCACTGTTTGATTGAAATAACTTTCTTGCAATGAAGTGTTTCGGGAAGCTTTAGGTACCATTTTGTGAAGCGAGGTTCAACTTACAAGGGAAGCGTGTTTTAGTCGAAGTGTCCATTTCAGATGAGACCCACAATGCCTTGAAGAGTATTGCACGGTGATTTTAAATCTGCCTTCCAAATCTGCCAAGCGTCTCCGGACCGCCGAGTTATGACCGTTTTTTGGAAAGAAAAATGAACGCAAAATTTAGGTAAAATCAATTGTTACATGTTTCCTCCTTTCTTGACCTCGGCATAGTTAGTTGTACAACTAACTATGCCGAGATTAAGAAAGGAGGAAACATCAATTGTTACAATCTTTCTAACGCTCATATAAAGCAATGTTTAGTATTAGCATATTTGCAAAATGTATCCATTGCATAAACGGCTCTGATATTTGACACTGGACCATTTGAGCAAATTTGGGCGATTTTGTTCTAGTTTTGCGTTCAATTTTTTGACCTAGAAAACCCCATAACCCGGCGTCCAGAGGCGCTTGGCAGATTTGGAAGGCAGATTTGGAATCATGGCTCAATGCTGTTTAAAGGCAGTATGGGTCTCATCTGGAAAGGCCACTTCGACTAAACACGCTTCCCTTGTTAGATTTGCAGTAAGTTGCGGTTTCAAAAAAACTTTCAATTAAATGTGAAAAATTGTGTGATTGGGTTTCCATGGACGCTTCAATACTCAATTATGTACAAGGTTGCGAAGCTTTCTAAACGGCATAATTGCAGTTTGCGGAAGCATTAGAAAACGGCCGGTACTGCTTACCTCGCATAACTTTTTACTGAAGCATTGTGATAAGCTGCGAACTTCACAATTAGATTCAGCAACTCTAATTAGCCCAGTGTGAAACTTTTCAGGTTGTTTTGTTTGCTTTCTGAGGCAAAATATGGCCTTTCACGGCTCAAAACCCTCTTCAAAGTTCCTATCGTAATCCTACACTAACGAAGAGCAGTCGGCGATTCGCTTTATACTGTAAATCTATCCTACACTAACGAAGAGCAGTCGGCGATTCGCTTTATACTGTAAATCTAAGTTGAACCTCGCTCTACAAAATGGTAGCTAAAGCTTCCTGAAACACTTCAAGAGAGTTATTTACAATCAAACAGTGAGTACATTTTTGGGACACCCTGTATATATTAATTACACATCAGCGACATAGACAGAAAAATGACTTCAAAGAAATTGGAGGATCTCCTAGGGACAAAAAATCATATAAAATATTGGAAACAGCGAATTACGTAAAGGGCAGCTTTGTGGCACAAGCATTTGGAAATTAGTGATAGGGCTACTCATAAATATCCAAGCGAAACTGGATGTAAGAAACGGGATCTAGAGGTCAGTTCCCTCCCATCCTCGTCGAAAGGTGCATAGGAGCCTCAATGTCTAGTGTAACGCCTGAGGCACGCGCCATACTTGATCCGCTTGATCCGCTCCATCCACTTCGCTATTGGTCAAATCAGCAAACTGACCAATGGCGAAGTGGATTAAAGCGGATCAAGCGGATTAAGTGGATCGAGTATGGCGAGTGCCTAAACCAGAACGGTTAGACGACTCCAATCAGACCCGGTACAGATCATCTGGATGCAGGCTGGACTTATCGTTTTTGACGAATCGAGGCCGAGCACCAAGAATAAGCGCCATTTAGTCGAACAAAGGCTTTTCGGACAGGTTATCACACGACTGACATGCTCTATTGTGTACTGCAAGAGTGTGCGCGATTTGAAAGCAAGGCTAAAATAAACAAATTGCTTGTTTTGCAGCGCATACAGAATCGTATGACACTAAAACTGAGCTTTATACTTAGAAAATTATTTGCAAAAAACTTATGCAAAAAGATTCGGAGATTTATGTGAAATAATACCTTTTCCAAAATTAGTCCGTCTCCAGACGGTCACCAAACGATCTAACAAGGGAAGGATACTCGATCGCAGCGACGATTGGGTAAGCGGTGTATACCGCGTATACTATCCCCAGAAAGTGATCTCTAAACCGCACTCCATATCTGCTATGACGTCATTCTGGAAGAGCCGTAGGATTTTGCAAAAACGCAAAAACGGCGGCATCCGAACCCACGAAATCCAGCTCATAAGGGAATGGTCAGAAGTCGAAGTGACCAATCCATACAAGCTGCATATCATTAGATGCAGCATAAAACGCTGACTCTAAATCTGTCTTCCCTATCTGCAGAGCGCTTTTGTGGACGAAATTATAAGCCGTTGAAGGTCATTATTTTGCTAAGAAATTGTGCGTGTAAAGTGCAAACTTGGCCGTACAAAGCCATTCTCGGCTCAGTGTTGGACCAAAACACGCATTTAGGTTACTTCATATGACCAGCACCTAGAGTTGAGCTGAACGAGCAATAATGTGCTTAATTTCGCAATTTTTGTGTACGATTTTTTTTGCAGTAAAGATGCTCATAACTTCGCCTACAAAGGCGCTCTGCAGATATGTAAGACAGATTTGAAATCAGCATTCTATGCTGCATCGATTGGTATGCAGCTTGTATGGATTGCCCACTTCGACTTCTGACCATTCCCTTGTCAGCAGTCCAAGCCACTATCCAATGCACCAGTTCACCATGGGGTGAGGCAAGTCTTGTACGCGAGTGCGCCTGCGGCACCAAAGGTCTTTAAAGCTCTTCCAGAATGACGTCGTAGCAGGTACGGAGTGCGGTTCAAAGATCACCGTCCGGGGACGGTATATGCGGTATACACCGCTTACCCAATCGTCACTGCGTCACTTTCCTTGTGAGATCGTCTGGAGCATATATTTCTGTCACTTCACGTAAGTTTCGGAGTTTTCTATCATGGACGGATTCCTCGGCCAAAATATCCCTGAGCATGAAGACATTTTCATATCATTGCCTTTACTTTGTTTTTGCCTTACAAGGGAAGGATACTACTTGGTCACCGCGGCCATTCATAATGATTTGTATATCAAAAAATGCGACTTTTAATGCTGATTATACTGTCTTCCATATTTGCAAAACGAAAATCTGAATGGAGTAATGATTATTTTTCCTTGAATGAACTGCGTTACTGCGGAGGGTCAAAATCATCAATAAAATTTTTTTCCTTTTCAAATGCTGAATATGATTTAGATAGGTATAATACAACAGTATTCTTTTTAAGATTCTCTTCAATAGCTTCAAATGGTAACTTAGAACAAATTTGGTGATTTTAACTAAACAAAAGTACGCAAATTTTCCACGAAAAAAAGTTCATAACTTCCTTCAGAAGATCGTTTCGCAGATATCGAGCACAGATTTGGAATCAGCGTTTCATGATGCACCTTACAGCATACATCGCATTCCAAATGGCCACCGTGATCGAGTATCCTTTCCTTGTTACTTTCCTCATAAATCGCTCTGTTGAATACCGCGCTCCAATGTTAAACTCTTGTGCGTGCGTAGTATCCAGCTCCAATTTGGATTTTCACTCTTATCTCACGTTTTCTTCTTTCGGACTAGTAAATCTTTCTTGTTTCCATCTTCTTCCATGGGCCGCATGCATTAACATCCCCGCTGGGAAGGGAATCGCAGCTCAAAGGAAAGCTTCATATTTTGAAGCTCCAATATATGGATTTCACGCTGTCTACCTGTCCGCAAGTATTCCTACTATCCTTCACTACGAACATATTAAACAGCAGCGAGAAGCTGTACAAACCGCATTTTCCAGCTTTTGTATGATCCCTGGCGATCTCCGGCGCTTTTCGTTAATGTCATTTTTCTTTTCTTTGAAGTTGAAGAAAACCTTCCAAAGTTGTACTGATTATCTGACAACAATGCTAAGCAGGGAATGGTCAAAACTCAACCCAGCCATATCAGATATGCTGTAAATTATCGGACTCACCTTGAGATGCTGACAAATACATTTTTATTGTGTGCCAAACGACTGTCTGGGAGGAGTTATGAGCAAATGTGCGATTTGTCAAGTGTTCTACGGCGCATGTTTCATGAGAAAGGTTTCAGAAGCACTTAATTGGATTTCTGGCGAATGTGTCTCTTCCTTGTGATCAGGATAACCATAGCCACCGTAAATCCGCGCCGTCAGGCGGCCTTTGAAGGGAATATACTCGTCAAAACTCGAAAAAAGTTTCATATTTGAACTCTCATAACTCCTCCC